AACCCGGAGGGCCAACGAAAAGGAAGTCATCCAAGTAGTGAGTAGCAGACACCAAACCCGCCTCCTGAAGCGTTACCCATTCGAGAAAACAGGAAAACATTTCAAAATAAAAACAAGAAATAGAACAACCCATGGGCAAACACATGTCGTAGTAAAAAAAACCCTGAAAAAAACAGCCTAGCAAGTGAAAACAGGAGGGGTGAACTGGCAACAGACGGAAAGCCGATGCTATGTCAGATTTTGCCAACAAAGCACCTTGCCCGGCCCGACGAACTAACTCCAAAGCCCTATCAAATGATGCATATCGCACGCGACAGATGTCCTTGCCAATGGCATCATTTACCGATTCACCCGACGGGTAGGATAGGTGCTGGATCAAACGAAAGGAACCTGGGTCCTTTTTGGGAACCAACCCCAGAGGGGAGACCCTCAAGGTTAGGAAAAGGTGGCGCACTAAACGGGCCAGCCATGCGACCCGCCTGCACCTCCACCTGCAATTTTTGCTGTAAAATATCTTCTTTGCCCTTAACCGAGCGGAGATTGTCCGCGAACTGAGGGAAAGAAGAGGGAACAAAGGGGATCCAGAAACCTACCTGAAAACCATCAAACAATGTCTGAGCATCTCGACCCCTATGATACCGGACGAGCCACGGGAGCATCCTTAGGGCGTCCACCGGCGTCCTCTCCCCTAGATACGTCATCTCGAGAGGGACCCTTTCCCGAAACTGGCTTCCCCTTACGGAAGCAGCGCACCGCGGGGTGGGCTCCCCCGCAGTGTGCACACTCATGGCGGAACCTGCAGGAGCTATACCAGCGGCAGTGGCTCTCATTAAAGAGCCAACACACACCTTTCCTCTGCCCTGCTGAGGAGCCGGAGTTACCTCCGGCAGGCCCGGGAAAGGGGGATGGTCTACTGGGAGTCATAAGTAACAGCCATAGACTGCCATCCTGCACGGCGAAATCCATACCCGGGCACACCGCCATCTTTTGTCGGAATTGCTGGTCATAGCGATACCAGCATTGCCCGCCATAAATTTTGTAGGCCCCCCAAATCAGATCTAAGTACCCGAACAGGGCCGGAGCCTTATCTGGGAACCGGCGCACTAGGATACTGGCAAATATGTTAAACCCCTGCAACCAATTACCAAAGGTTCTGGGTATCTGCTTACCTTTTTCCGCCTCGGGTACCTCCCCACGGCGTGGTCTGTCCACTGAATCCTTGTCGGGAGAGACCAAAGACAGCAGATCCACATACTCACCTCTCCAAATCTTCTCTTGCACATCCATAGGGACATGCAAACCTAACGGTGCAAGATCACATCCCACCGAACCGGCACGAAAAGCCCCTGCGGCAGGCTGAGCCCTAAGGGTTTGAGAACATCCCTGCGGCTGACCCTCAGCCAGCCCTGGGAGACCCTGTCCCTGAACCTGTCTAGTATCCAGCCCAGTAAGATGGGAAGGGAAAGTGGCCACTAGGGTCCTAAGCAAGCGCAAGCACTCACTAGCCTGATCTTGGGCCCCAGTCCCTGGCACGCCGGCGCCATGTAACCACCACCGGACCGCTGGGGAACTGCAGGCACCGAAACCTCCTCCTCTTCAGAACCAGAATCCAACCAAGGGCTCCCAGGGACATCTGCAGCTGGACCTGAGGTGTGCTCCCGGTTAACCGTTCCGAAACCGGCTGCCTCAGGGTGATGGGGGTTGACTCCGGCTGTCTGGGCTCTCCTGAGGTCTCCTCTTCTCCCTGCCGACCGTCCTCTGCGTCCGGCGCCCTGAGAACTCCGTGTTCTGGACCGGGCGCCGACGTTGTGTGTCATTTCCGGGTTCGGGACGCCGCCGGAGCGCGTCACTTCCGGGTCCCGTGATCCGGCGGGCGCGTCACTTCCGGTTGCGCCCGATGATGACGTCCGGCGGCCTGACGCACGCCGACGCTTCCACTCACTTCCGGCGTCCTCTCTCTTCCCGCCGTTTGGACCGGAAGAGACGGCGGGCTCCGAGATCTTCCCGCCACGCCGCCATCTTGTCCACCAACGATGATGGCCGCCGCCGGTCTCCTTCCACTCCTCACCGGGGAAGACCTGGCGGTGCCAATCCGCTGTTCCCGCTGGCGACCTCGACGTCTGGACACCGGACTGGGGGACAGGCGCGTAGGAGGCCTGGAACGCCTGGTCCTCCTACCGCCATCCAACGGAATAGAAGAAGTCCCTGAAGCTGCAGCAGGAGCCGGGCGATTATCCACCCCAGCGATCACCTCCTCCAAAGCACCGGATCCATGAGAGGCAAGGTACGCCTGCAGTAAGGCTACCACATCTTCCCTTGACACAGCTGAAGCCATTCTCCCGATGCCAGATGAGGGGAAAGTCAGGTAAGTAGAAAATCCAAATGAAAATAGTAATAATTGAAAATTCTTTTTTTTTTTTTTTTTTTGGACAGTCCCAGGGGAAGCTAGCAACACTACACCTCTGCCCAGGAACTGGTGAGTACCCTCCCCTTTTTCCCCATCTTAATGTCCCCCCATGTGTAACAATGTATCCCCTTGTGACCCAACCCCTTATCCCTGCCAGCAGTCATGTCCTCCCTTCCTTAATGTCCAGGGAGGTACTGGTGTTTGAAAACAGTAGCTAATGCACCACTTTACACTCAGTGAATAAACCACAATGATGCAAGTTGTTTTGGCACTTTCTGTCTTGTTTAAATATAACTATATATGTCCTGAGTACCAACTAGGAGGGAGTGAGACTAGAAGAGGAAGTGTGGGGGAGACAAGGAGCAGGGGCAAGCAAAAACAGCATAAGCCCATCAGCTGACCCTAGAATAATTTGGCATAGTACATATCAGGGGCATGTCAACACAGCAATCAAATAAGGTGATAAGATTGATAGGCTAGCATATTGCTGTTGGGGGAATAGCTTATTTTGCTCTTGTAGAAGGTGAGCCATTGAAGCAACTGATACAGACTTTTGCTCCCAATTACTATTTGCCTCCCAGAACAACATCTAGCAGGAAAGGCACACCATCTCAATCTGTGTAACGTTACTGTTTAATGCAGGTGGGCAGAGTGTTCACGTTACCATAGACAAATTAAGTGTCCCTAGCTTTCTTGTTGTTGGCAGCCAAATGTCCTCTGTGTCGGAGCATTCCTGTTAGGTAAGACAAGCAGTGACAATGAAGAACAGTGCAAGCAGTGCAGTTCAAATCTTTTCTGCTACATGCTGAGGTTATGGATCAGCAGCTCCGCTAATATTCTGGCAGCTCTTTGAGTTATGCTAGAAACGTGGTTTGGACAGGCAACAGACACAGCAGTACAAAAGGACTTTATAGTGAGTGATGGGGATGCCAATATGGTGAAAGCTATCAAAGATAAGGACTTGGTGTGTGCTGAAGGGTATGACTAGACAGGGCTGCAGTTAGAAACCGTGCTTTTTTTTTTGAAGGGACCTAATAAATTGGTACTTTGCGCCAGTTTGCCTGGGATCACATCCAAAGGCTGCTGAACCTTCTTTCTGCCAGTCTGCCACCTCTCTCACTGGACTGCTGCTGTTCTACTTATTATCGTCCTTTGGGTAGTAGTATATATAGCATTGCTGTGCCCATGCACTGCAGTGTTTTTTTTATCATTCTTGAAAGGACCTAAAAGAAGTGGCTGCCGACCATTTGTCTGTGTTAGTGCTGGGCCATTGCTCTCACAAGGCAAACCTTCAAAGGTTGCTGCTGCCACTGACTTCATTTAATTCAAATTTCAAAAATCCTTATTTATTGGTTGTTGGGTGTAGTAGGGTATCACATTGATTGTTGGGTGTAATACAGCAGTACTTCACTTTTAAAGCACTGCTGTATTTTTTTTTGCCATATTTTCATTGACCTAATACAAGTGATATCCCTGATTGTCCTGTCTGTGCTGCTGGTCCACTGCTGTCCGAAGGCTCACTTCTCAAAGCTGCTACTGTTCAGGTTTCAAATTAATTCAAATTTATATTAAAATTTTAAATATCCGCCTTCAATGGGATTGGGTGTAGGGTAGCGCTGCAGTTCTTTACCTAGTAAGCAATGCAACATTTTATTAACTTTTTTACATATTTTAAAAGTGACTGCCCGACCATCTGCCCTCTGCTACCTCTGTCTCCTGTCTAACGTCTAAAGGCTGCCGCTGCCACTGTATCTCAAATACAAATTTAAAATGTCCTCCTTTAGGGGTTGTTGAGAATAGGGTGCCGCTCCAAGGCTTCGCTCAGCAAAACACCAACATTGTCATTTACATTGGCACAATCATTTGAATCATATATCCCACTGTATAAGACTTTTTTAAGACAAAAAGGGATCAGGGATATGTTTACAGGTCTTGGAGATAGGAGTCTTTGCACTAATTTAAAATGGAAATTCACTTCCAGAGAAGTGACAGTTCCTCTTTCACTGCAGTAAATACTATTTCAAAGTTTATTGGGGTGAATAAGAACAGGTAGGTTAAAAACGTATTCACCTTCAATGCACTTCCACATTGCTGCCACATCATGCCTCAGACACAGCCATGCACACTTGGGCAGCAATAGATATATTTTTGCACAAGTGTAGAATTTTTTTACAGTACTACACTAACTAATTTGCTTGTTTTGTATAGTGTTGCCAGACAAAGCATACAAATTAAAATAAATCTAAAAGGAATTAAAAAAACACACAAGCAATAGCCAATTGTTTGCAAATATTTAGTTGTGGTAAATGAGGAAGTGCAAGTTACTTTCCTATTGTGTTTTCTTAAAGGAATACTATAGGGTCAGGAACACAAACATGTATTTCTAACCCTATAGTGTTTAATTACCAGATTTTTTTCTAATTTCATGACATAAAGTCATGATTTTATAAAGGACACGGAGGCGAGTATTATGCTTTTCTCTTTCTTTTATTCCTCAGCAGCAAAAGAAAATATTGTGTGTGTATATATATATATATATATATATATATATATATATTCAATGCAAAAAAGAAAAACACTTCAATAACATTACATCATAACTTCTAAAGGGTTAACCAAATACCTCATAAGAACCAATCAGAGTGTCCCTATTACAATAAAGTCCCATGTGACCCTAAGCCACTCCTCTTTCTTTTGGTGTTGCTGATGGACACTCCAAAATTCCGCAATGAAAATAACCAGTAGTCGTATAGAGAACAGAAGATGACGTCGATAAAAAACCAAAAACCCTAAAGAAAAAACTGGTCATCCTCCATCCGCACACCTCTGGGCATGCCTGGACCATTATGGCACTCCAATTAGGAAGCTGTAAGACAGAGAAACGAGATGGTAAAATGTGTTCTTGGATAATATTTTTCCACGTTCATATTCCAACGCTATCTAAACACTAGATCATTCTCATGTTATTCACTCAAAGGAAAGAAAATAACACATTATCACCCGGCTCCAGTCCCATAACATACATTACATTCCCAGAGGAGGGCAACTTACCTTTAGTGGGTGGGATAATACTCTCCTCCGTGTCCTTTATAAAATCATAACTTTACGTCATGAAATTAGTAAAATCTGGTAATTTTATTAAAGGACACGGAGGCTCTTATTATGCTAGTTCAAAGCTGTGTGATCACTGACATGGAAAAATGGGAAACCGGGTGTAAATAAAATTCCCGGAATGTAGATTCTCTCGACCAATCGGCTGCTCGGAGGAGATCTTCCAATTTACAGCCTAATGAAAAAGCTTTTGATGCCATCGCACCCCTCACTGAATGTGCTCCGTATGTGGAAGTATCAATGCCTGCTGACGTCATGATCCATTTGACCCAGCGAGATATGGTGACTGTAGAAACCGGACGATGCGATTGTCAAATAGCCAGGAATAGTTCCGCACATTGAGGATCTCGGACCGCCGCCGTCCTTGTTTCATACTCCTTGAGACAGGCTACTGGGCATAAGTTACTGTTATGTGGAAAAGCGGGGTAAAAAACCTTTGTGATGGACGTTTTTGTACATCTCGATATATATCAAAGGCCACCCCTTCCGATGTATATGAGCGTGCCTGAATGTCCAATGCTCGTACATCTGAGATCCGTTTACATGAGATGAGACAAAACAATGTAACCAATTTTGCGGTGAGTTGCTAGATCGACAAGTCTTCGTTCCTTGGCCAACTTTAAAAAAAATCGGAGAACGAAGTTCACATCACAGACCTCCGAATACCTAGGCCGTGGTGGTCGTGCAAATTTTCTGTAGGAGTTTCCCGTAGGAGTCGACATACCATCAGATGTTTCCCTGTTTGAATTCCATTCCAACCTACGTGGCCTGCTGAGATAGCTGACCTATGTAGATTAATTGTACGATACACCAGGCCGTGGTCGAAAAGTGAAGTGAGGAAACCCAAGACTTGACTCACAGTTGCAGATATGGGATCCACATGTTGTTCCACGCACCAACCATGCCATGCGTTCCAGGCATGTAAATATGATTTCCTTGTACCTGGGGCTCAAGCTTCTGCCAGTAGGTCCAGAGTTGTTTGTGGAACATTTGGGATGTCATCAAGTCCCCTGAGAGGAGCCATGCCAAAAGCTTGAGATGTCCCTGCAGTATGAGAGGATGTGGATTGCCATAGGGATCCAGGAGAATGTTGTCGTGTACCGGTAGTAACCTTGGCAGATCTATTGACAGTTCCAGGAGTGTAGGGAACCAGGGTTGAGACGTCCAGAAGGGAGATACGAGGATTAGAGAAGTTCGGTGTCGTCTGAGGTGCAGCAAGGTCCGTGCGATGAGAGAAAAGGGGGGAAAAGCGTAATGTCTGGCGTTCGGCCACTGTTGTCGGAAAGCGTCCGTCGCTAGAGCCTCCAGATCCGGCCTCCAACTGAAAAACCTCGGTAATTGCGTGTTTAGTCGTGAAGTGAACAGGTCGATGTCCAGTGGTCCCCACAGTGATTGCAAATGGCTGAAGGTGCCCGGGTTCAGCCACCAGTCGCTGGCATCTCGTAGATGTCTGGAGTTCCAGTCTGCTACTACATTGCTCATCCCCGGAATGTGTTCCGCTTGCACTGATATCTTGCGATCCAGGCAGAACTGCCAGAAATCCTTCGCTAATTCCGCAAGTATTGCTGACCTCGTGACCCCGAGGTGGTTGATATAACGGACTGCTGAAACGTTGTCCATGCGTAACAGGATGGAACAGTTGGTTGACACGTTCAAAAGACTCCGTAAAGCAAAGAAACCCGCCAACAGTTCGAGGCAATTTATATGAAGTCCCTGTTCCTCCCTGGACCATCTTCCTCCGGTGGAGAAAGGTCTGCAGTGCGCACCCCAACTGAGCAAGCTTGCATCGGATTCCACTATGAGGTCCGGAGTTGTTCCGAAGATCGCGCGGCCATTCCAGGCTTCCATGTGTTGTAGCCACCATTTGATTTCGTCTTTGGCAGCACAGTCGAGAGGAACAGAATCTGAGTATGAGTGCCCCAAACGAAGGTATTTTGCCTTTAATCGTTGAAGTGCTCTGTAGTGTAGGGGTCCGGGAAAGATGGCCTGATTTGACACCGAGAGGAGGCCTACAATCCTGGCCAGCTGTCTCCAAGTAAGGACAGGACGTGTTAGCATCCGCTTGAGCTCCTTTTTGATGGCCTTGACCTTGGTCGTTGGGAGTATGAGTGTTCCGGTCACCGCGTCTATGGTGAAACCCAGGAATTCTATTGCTTGCGATGGTTCGATGACCGACTTCTCCCAGTTGATCAGAAAGCCCAGGTTTTCTAACAGATTTCTCGTCCAAGAGAAATGTTCGTGCAACAGAAGCGGGTCTTGCGCCATGATGAGGATATCGTCCAGGTATATTATGAGCCGTACTCCCCTGCTGCGTAGGAGGGCGACCACTGGTTTCATGAGCTTTGTGAAGCACCAGGGGGCCGATGAGAGACCGAACGGTACGCATTTGAATCGCCACATGGTCTCTTCCCATCGGAATTGCAGGAAGCGTTGGCAGTCGTGAGATATGCGTCCTTCAAGTCGAGTTTGACCATCCAGTCCCCTGTGAGGAGGAGGTCCCGGAGAGAGTGTATACCTTCCATCTTGAAGTGATGGTATGTGACAAACATGTTTAAAGGTCTCAAGTTGATGACTGGGCGAACGCCTCCGCCTTTTTTGGGTACTAAGAATAGGTTGCTTAGGAAACCTGGTGGGACGGGGGGATTGTATAAATTGCCCCCTTGGAGGCTAAGGCCTGGACCTCTTGGGTTATCAACTCTCGGTACCGAGTGGGGAACACCATTCGGCTGGGGGGTTTCAGTTGGACAGGGTATTGCACAAAATCTATAGAGTAACCCCGGACCGTGTGGAGCACCCAGGCATCCGCAGTGAGCATGTGCCATGCTTTGACAAAATGGCTCAGTCTGGCCCCCACCATAGTTAATGCTGACATATGAGGAGGTAGGGCACTTACCATAAGGTCGTCGGCCATATGAAGAGCCTCTGGGTCCTCGGGTTTGCCACGGTCTGCCTCAAACTGGGAAGAACGGTGAGGCTTGTTTGGGTTCCGGGGGTGTGAATCTGGATTGCGCAGAGCCACGAGAGCCCCGGGGCGAGCGGCGGGGCAGATGGCCCCGATATCTGCCGGCCCCGCCAAAAACTCTCTGATGGAACACTCGCTTCATGCTGGCTTGAGTCTTATCAAGTGCCGTAATGGTGCCCACATATGTGCTTAGTTCTTTTACGAAGTTATCCCCAAATAGGAGGGCTTTAGCCTGGGGACCTGGCTCTGAGATAGCTAGGTTTACTAGCTTAGGCTCAATTTTAATTAAGATCGCTTTGCGTCTTTCTGTGGCCACTGCCGTATTAGCATTGCCCAGGAGACACACGGCACGCTGGATCCACCCTCTGAGGGCTTTCAGGTCCAGCGGTGCACCTCCTCAGGTCCAGCGGTGCACCTCCTGCCAACGCGATTTCGACCATATCGAACATCCTCGCGATTGGTCCAAGCATGTCCAATACCTTATCCTGGCAATTCTGCCAGGCAAAATCCAGGCCCTTCTTGGCCTTCCAGCCTGATTTTCCCAAAAATTTGGCGATTTTGGGGTCCACCTCCGGGGTGGCGCATGCCATATCCGGGACCGTGGGGCATGGGCATTCTGCCCGCAGCTTGTTTCGCGCCACCTTATCCAATGGTTTTCTGATGCGGGCAGTGATATATTTCGCTACGTGGTCCAGAGGGTACCACTCGGAGGACCTCGGGTGTTGTAGGGTGTCCGGATCGAATAATGATTCGCCCTGAGGGTCAACTAAGGCGGAGTCGTCAGCTCCGTCCTTGTGGTCCATGTCCGTGCATGTGACGGAATCATATTCCTGCAATTGATTATCATTAGAATCATCAGAGTCCTCCTCCTCTGACTCGCTCTGTGCCTCCTCTAGCTCTGATTCAGAGTCGGAGGATTTGAGTAGGGCCTTAGCCCTCTTCCATTTCCTCACCGATTTTGCCCGGTGGGGGGCTCTTAGTTGTGGTCCAACCACAGGTTCTGTGACAGGACATGCCCTGTCCATCTGTAGGGTTTTGGAGGCATAATCGTCTAAATGGCGAGACTTTTTAGTGGCCTTACGCCCACTAGGGGCCACCGGTTTATTTTCTGGGGGGTTAGGCGGCAGTTGAGTGGCTCTCATCGCAGTGGTTATGGAATGTGATAAATTATTTGACATGGCACCCATGGCGGTAAATATGGCCTGTGTCTCAGACTTCGCCATAGCCGCGTCTAAGAGGAAATGTAACTCCTCTGAGTCCATATGCTCTTGCACTGTTTCCAACGCTGTGGGCATTTTGGGGCCCTGCAAGGGAGGGGTGGTTATGGTGGCTCTAGGCGTTGTGGCACTATATGCACTGTTCTCAGCCTGCATGTCTGGGGTGGAAAGGACAGTAAATACAGGCATGCTGTTAAGTATATCCCCTAAATAGGTTATGAGAATGGCTAAACCCCAACTAAAATAATATCAAACAAACTAGCAGGCAACAGGCACCAAGTGTTTACCAAAGTGCTAACAGAGGTAGACAACAAATACAAATTGCAGCAAGCTCACGAGTGTTCCCTCGGGAATAAGCTCCTGGGGAACACCAGGAGACTTGCCCAGCAACAGAGATCAACTCCCGCCCCCAAACGAGCAGTATTGGCCGCGCTAGTAAAAGCGCGGCAAAACTGCCAACCCCAAGATGGCCGCCGCGATGCGCACCACCTCGTGCTACTAAAATATGGTGGATGCCATGTGCCTGTCCAGCCCTGGTGGGGAGCGAGCTGACTTCTCTACTAGACTTGAAAAGTTATTCGATGACTTCTGGAGGAGGCTCAAGGAATGCCAAACGTAACTCATCTGCATGATTGCACATGCCGGGATCGATCACTGGGGGACGAGTGGCAGGCAGCGAATCCAGACGCAGAGCAGGCCCATGCTCTGTGGCCACTCCCAGACCATCCCCTGAAAGGAAGCAGCCAGAAGCGAGCCGCCATCGGTTATCCCTTCATGGAACAATAGTTCCGCTCCAACCCAAGCAGCCAAGCCACAGAGCTGGTTTGCAGAGCATCTCTTGGACGGAACAGGGTGTCGCAACTGACTGATACCGGCACCTTCAGTGAGGTTTCCATGCCCGAAGTCATACCTGCCAGACCGGGTCTATGTCATACTGGAAAAGGGTGTGGGATGAACAGGGACTGTTCATGTCGTTGCCATGTCTCACTGTATACCTCTGCATTCTCAGAGTAACAGTATAGAGCATTGGTTTACTCTTATGTTTTTCTTTTCATTTGTACTCTTATTTTACCTGTTGAACTCTCAAATATTATGTGGGGTTTCACCATACTGCTCTAACAGTCGGGTCGTTCCACGTGGGGGGCCTCTCTGGTGGGCAAACATTTAGTCTTCTTTATCCCAATTGCATGTCTCACATTATAGTCCTAGACATGGTTTTTAAATTAATTTACATGCCTAGCCTGTTTTGTTATCTATATAACACTGTGCCTTTCCTTTGACTGCTAGATCAATGTTTCATTATATCTGTTTTTAAACTGCTATCCAATGCTGTTGTGGCATCGCAAGATCTTTTGTCATACACACAGCAAAAAATAAAGAACGTAAAAAAAAACAACTGAAAAAGCAAAAGCGTTTTATTTGTACCTGTAACTTTCCAAAACCACTTAAAAATTGCACATGGGGCATCACTGTACTTCAACATCTCAGCATGCAAATATGTGTGGTTTATTGCAGTAAAAGCTAACAATAGTATGACATTCACAGGTAAAATGCCACGCAGAACTTGGAAAAACAACACAATTTCTCTTGACACTTTTTTTAAATATATTATTCATATTTGATTTTCAACGAAAGCCCTGTTTCTCCTGAACAAAATGGTATATAAATAAGTGTGGGTGCACTTAATATGAAAGTGGTGAATTATGGTTGAACAGACATAGAGCTCAAATTCCAGGTTTTGTTTAGATTTTGCTTTGATCAGAACATGTACAATTGCCTCCGTCCTTAAGGAGTTAAACATGGAATTGTGGAATATTGACAAAGGAATTTTAGTACAAAAGGGACAGTAAAAGTCAACACACATAAACTGATGATAGAAACCAGGTGCCATCCTGCTGGGGACAGCCAAACCCCATAATTCAGGAGATAAAAATAGCCTCAATGGGAAAACTTTCCGGACAACTTCTGAAATGTGCAATCCTTGGTCAGTTCTATACAATACTGGTTTAATGAATAAGTCCAAATGTTTCTTAAAGTTTGTTAATGATCTTTATACCTTTAGAGTCCTTTAGGAAATAAAATACAGGAAAAGATCAGGGTTATTGGCAGACTATCATTTCTCCAAACATTCTATCCCATATTAAACTGTAAGGGTGCAGAGGTCTGTGCTTTTCATTGCCTAGTTGCTCCTTCCCAAGTCCCCTGTGCACACATGACAGAGCACCAGGTTAGAATGTAATTTCCCAGTGCTATGTAATTAGCTCGCAGGCAGGATAATCTAGCAGGAGCAATGGAAAGCAATGATGAAAGCCATTTCCCTGTACTGGAGTCCAGGGTAAATAACAGACTGCAAAAATATGGTTTAACCCCTTAAGGACACATGACGTGTGACATGTTATGATTCCCTTTTATTCCAGAAGTTCGGTCCTTAAGGGGTTAAAGGGATACATGTGCTAAAAACGCTAAAAAAATGATGAACTCGATGATAGTGAATAGGGGTGCAAGGAAAGTATTTTAAAGTAATTTAGGCAAAAAATACTGTTTTAGGAAAATTAAATCAGAGAATATAAATGAGAATATGGTAGAGGGAATGTAAGCAGGAATCAAGTGTTAGAGAGAAGACATGAGAAGAGAAACATAAACTAAAACAAAATAAAACAAGCAGCCTTTGATGGGTTCAATGATGAAGCATATGTTGTAGGAATATTTATAGAAGCTTAACTGTTTTATTTATTAGATAAATTTTCTAAACAGCATTTTTTTTCCTTTTACATATTTTTATTGGGAGAAAAAAACTTACCATTATGGACAAAATGTTCATATTGCCAAGTAATTCACCTGATCCTGTCAATGGCAATCAAGCAAGTCTCCTCATGCTCATATATTACACAGCATTTTGTAAAAGATAGGTTTATTTTACATTATTCAGAAACCGGACAGAAAAAGAGCGAATATTTTGTGATTTGAAAAGATAAGGGATAACAGTTTAGAGTATTATTTTAAAGATGTGGTAGTGGATACCTGGAATTGCCTTTCAATTGCAGCAGTAGCAGAATTGAGTATTTTTTAGGTATTATATGCATCATAACTATGCATTGTTAATTTGATGATTTTAAGGTTAGGCATATTGCCACATTATTATCAAATATGAAGAATATCAGTGCTACAAGAAATAAATATTAAACATAGCACTATGCTGACATAGCATTCCAGAATGAAATGTACTTGAATGTTTCAAGTCAGATAACTAAAGCTACAGAGAAACAAATATTGCTATTGAGGCTGCCAAAAAAGAAGATGCTGTTTTTTTATCTTCACCTTTGGATCCAAAGGGTTAAACACAAGAAGGGCTTATAATGTACCTTGATGCTGTTTATAACTTCTGAGAATGTCCTTTCCTTGTCTGCATTTTATTTAAATATGAAAGAGCTGTGTATGTTCTGCAGGCTCTGCAAACATCAGATTTACATCTGCTAAGCATGCACATACTGTACAGCATACATCCTCTTTTTGTATGTGATCAGCTGTGTCTGTGCTTTCTCTCACTCTCCTCCCTTATTCCCTCCTACGCCTCCAGTGTGCATTTCTACATAAAAACACAGACCCTGCCAGCTCCCTCAATCAGAAACACAGGGAGGAAGGAAACAAAACAGTCTTCTGTGGCTTAACGTCCTAGCTGAAAGGCAAAGGCATAAAACAAAAGCAGCAAACTAAAGCACCAACGCCTGACTCAGTGAACATTTCATGCAGTTTATTGTTTAGTTCTTTATTTTTGTTCCTCTGTTTTTTTGGACAAGGGGAGTAACTCTTATCCTCGTAGCCTTGATGGCTTTGCCTGACACCACACGAGGATTGCCTAATGGGGGAGGTGGTGGAGGTGGCTGCACTGGAGGTAAAGCCTTGGAACCGTTGTTTCCTGAGATTGTGGAGCTAAATGTTGGCGGACAGGTGTATGTGACCCGTCACACTACTCTTATATCAGTTCCAGATTCTCTTCTGTGGCGTATGTTTTCCCAACAGAAACCAGTGGAACTGGCACGGGACAGTAAGGGACGTTTCTTTCTTGACCGTGATGGTTTCTTATTTCGCTATGTGTTGGATTACCTGCGAGATCTACAGCTTGTACTGCCAGACTACTTTCCAGAGAGAAGTCGGCTACAAAGAGAAGCTGAGCACTTTCAATTGCCTGAACTAGTAAAGCGCCTGAATCCTCTTCGTGTCAGTAAAGAAAGCTCGATTGGTGGAGAAGAACCTCCTTTGCTCCTTACCCCTGCAGCCAATCAGGATTCTGACTTAGATACAGCCATCATTCCATCATCTTCACCAGCAGCTGGAGTGCCCTCTCCAACTTTAGATCCATATCGCTTCAATGCCTCTTCTTCTTGCAGTCCAGCCTCAGTCCCACGTCTGACTCCATCACAATCTCTGGAGGGTAAAAGATCTGGTTATATAACAGTTGGCTATCGAGGTTCCTACACCATAGGACGTGAGGCACAGGCTGATGCCAAGTTCCGAAGGGTTGCCCGTATCACTGTCTGTGGCAAAACCTCCCTAGCCAAAGAAGTTTTTGGAGAGACCTTGAATGAAAGCAGAGATCCTGACAGGCCTCCTGAGCGCTACACATCTAGATACTACCTCAAGTTTAACTTTCTGGAACAAGCCTTTGACAAGCTATCTGAAGCTGGCTTCCATATGGTGGCATGTAGTTCCACTGGAACATGCGCTTTTGCCAGTAATGATCAGAGTGAGGACAAAGTCTGGACCAGCTATACTGAGTATGTTTTTTGCAGGGACTGAAGTGAGGCCATATGTAGAAAAATGCAATGAAAATTCAAGAATTAACTATTGTCAATATTTTACCTTCTCATTTCCCAATTAAAAAAAAAAAGCAAAAACATTTTCATCTTAAGGATAAAATTACACTTAAAGTGTAAGTGGGGCTAGTGGATCAGTTCCATCTTTTGACACAACTATAATCTTATAAGAAACTATATCCTGAATAGCAGTGCACCTACAAAACTAAAGTTCATTGAGTCATACGAACTTCTGCTTTAGATTGTTTAGTAATCTCTTGCGTTACAATCTGCCATCTTGCAAAACATAACTGACAATCTTTCATGAACTGCTCAAGAGGGTCGATAGAAAAGCATTAGAAGCCTCCTTCACGCTGGAATGTGTCTGTATGAGACTTGCCTATTCACCCTGAGCAGCTTCAAAATTTGCCGTGGTTGTGGAAATCTTCAAAATATCAAAGACTATTATTTTCTTTTTTCCCCCAAAGTGTTTAAAATGACTGATGTGCAGGCTGCTATAAGCAGAAATGAAGATAAGTATCACCCATTGCAGCATAACGTAAAACTAACCATATGCTCATTCTTTCAATATGGAGAAAAATCCTGAGTTATTGTTAACTGCAGTTTATCCGTCTTCATTCCTAAACTCAGCTATAAACACCTTGCGAAAGCTCTCTTTAGTTATTATGTTGGGGGGATAAAAAAAATCTCTTTCATATAGGAAAAATGTACACTAATAGATGAGATTGTGTTATTCAGTTTCAAAACTGTTTTAATTTTACATTATATTCCATATCTTGCATAAACTGGTAAGACAAAAGTACATGAGTACTTTTTAGCAACCACCTAATGTAAATCATAAAAAAAGGAAAGAATATTGTGCTTTTATATTAAATGTCATATTTTTCTTATTTGAAATGTATAAATATATATCTATATATAAATTCAGAACATTTTAATTGTACCTATCCTCATTCTGTTATGAGTGACAAAGTGTAGAGGCAAATTTAGGAATATGCATTTATTTTTCTGGGATAAGATAAAGCTTTTTGCAATAAACTGTCATAGCGGGCATCGTTTCATACATAGTCTAGCCTTCCGTAGAGAGCTGATGAAATATAAATTACTTTTGTCACTGTTCATTTTGAAAAGTTAATTGAAGCATAGTAAGGGCTTATTAGCAGACTGGCTGTAGATCAGTTGAAGTAGATAGGATTGCTAAATACACACATTTTTAATAATGAACGATAAGAATACCTTCTTCTGGTTCTATATTTGTTATGCCCCATTCGTTGGCATAGAGCTGAAAGTCGACTAATGAAGGTGATTCAATGCATACAGTCTTCTCGGTCTTGTCACAATTGAACTTACCTAGCAAAGCATTTCCATTCCAAAATGTGGAGAACAAGTCTGTGAGTTTCCATAGAGATTTCTTGTTATTTAGCAGTTTGCCCCAAAATTTCACCTTTTTTAAAATTATCAGTGTGGCCTATATTTCTAAGTGTAATAGCGCTAAGTGTAATATTTCTAAGTGTAATCTCTGATACACAATAATGATGTCAGGTAGAATATCAGAAGAGTTTAACTATGTAATAGAAGATATAGAAATGAATATAACATAATACACAGGGCTGATTTTCTGGTCTGTGTCCTTAAAAGGCTAGTGTATAAAGGTACCAAGGGGCTCTCTTTAATCTTCTAATTAGGGTAGGGTCCTAATTTCTTGCCAGGGTAGTGAAAATCACCCAGCTAAGTCCTCTTGCCACTGATTTCTGATGTCTTTTAAACATTTTAGCACCAATTGTATACCCATTAAAACAAAATAGAGGGCTTTAGGCCACCTTTCAACATTCCTAGATAGATCTATATTTCTATTACACTAAGGGTGGACAAAGGGTCTATTCTCTGCTGTTGCACAGTTTGAACTCCTGTGACACTTTGTAAGCCTTAAGCACCATAGCACTCATAGCTCTGCTACAATTGGAGATCTACAATTTTACATTCCCTACATTACACCATATAACTCCATTGGGGTGTAATATTGATCGGCTTTCAAAAATGAGTTCGTCTTTAAATGTCTCCTCTGCAGTTCATCACACATTAGTGGAACTCACATTCCTATAGTTCATTGGATTATATGATATAACCCGTCACTCACACATATATGTAATTAGGCATATAGCATGTATGAAAAGCAGTACTAAATAAAGACTATGAACTGAAACTATGTTTTAGAACAATTCAGGCAAACATGACTTTACCAAAGACTGCCATACTATTGAGTTAATTTAAGTATATATATTGTTTTCGTAATAAAACAGACACAAATATTTTGTTTTCTAAAAAAAAAAGAACAGCACAGTTGTGGGGATAATAATCTCTCCTTGCTTTACTCTGTATTTTGTTATTCTGTTTTTCCAACTGATGTATGTTTATATTTCACAATACTGTTTTCTGTTTTAATGTTAATCATCATTATTTGATGTAAGCAATATTATTTAATAAAAGCATTAATAAACATGACGTTTAGCACAGTTACACAGCATCGACTAAAAATTAATTTTGGTGAGCTGAATACTGAGTTGTGAAATGATTTTATATCCATCACTAAACAGCTTACTGCTTAGGAAATCCATCCCTAGTTGACTCTTTTTGAAAGGAAACCAAGCCAAATATCATCTGCAGAATTATTAGAGATTTGTGTCTTTTGCTGATATCAACACACTATTAAATCTTTAATTTTTCAGCGTTACCGGTTTTTTTTGTGCTGTGCTGATAGATTCATTTAGCTCAGGGTGTTGAATCCCCCCCTCTCATTTTTTTAACCACCTCCTCTGATTCTCTTCGAATCGTAGGTTGTCAGGGCACTGTTGGTGTTTTTTGTTTAAAATCTTCTGGGAGAACTAGAGTGTGACACCAATGCATTGTCTCTGTCAGCATCAGGTGGCTACACTATCGACGTAAAGCATTATCCTGCATCTGTGTGTGGTCTATGTTGTTTAAAATGTATTGATAAGGATAGTTGTCAGCCACTTAATCAATAAAAAATAAGACACCAGAGCTATTCATAGAAGGGGAATTATGGGATGAAATTTCCTCTATTTTCAACGCATATAAAGATAATGCCAAAGTTCCAAGCCAAGTCACTGCTTTGTGGGTGTGCTAGCAGTGATAAGTAGTGTAATCCCCAAACAAGCAGTTATTCTACTCGTCTCTAAATGAGCGGTAATGCTATTTAATTACATTAGGGTGTACGTTTGAGAAAATTACTATCTACATTTCTCTGAATAATAAGTAAAAAAAAATTAGGTACAAAATACAAATTGATAACCATGGCACACACTTATTCATATCACAGCTGCTATCAGTTTAGCATAGCCGAAGGTCTTGTTCATTGTTTTGTGCCCCTCTTAGTCTGTGGCTAAACATACTCTTTGAGATGAGAAAAAGCTCAACTTAAGTTTTGCATGCAGTGTATAGTGCTGGCAAAACTCGGATAATATTTACATGGGACTATTGCTACAGATTGGCTGATTGACAGAAGCTAGAGTTACATCCTTAATATATATGCAAACATCTTAGAATTGACAGCATTACAAGATGAAGCAAGCCAAACTGGCTGTAGTGCTCTCCTTTAAAATGACACAATAGGCATCCAGACCACTTCAGCTCATTGGAGTGGTCTGGGTGCAGTGTCCATGTCCCGTTAGTCCTGTAATGTAAAACATTGCAGTTTTAGAAAAACTGCAATGTTTTTACTGCAGCACTAAGACAATCTTTAGTGGCAGTCTCTTCCAGACATTCTTTACCAGACAGCCACTAAAGGCGCTTCTGGGATTTGACTGGACTTTTGGTCCACTAACTGATGCTAGATGTCCTGACGCTGTGCATGAGAACATCCAGTGTCAGTAAATCCCCATAGGAAAGCATGCGCATTAGCCTACCCTTCCATCCGGTGATGTAATCAGAGGAGGCAGTGTACCAACCCAGCGCAGTGGGACTTTGGTGCTAGAATCAGGTAAGTGATTAAAGCGTTTTTGGATCTTTATTGGTTGGGAAGGGGGAGGGGGAAGGGGGAGGAGAGCCTGATGGCTCTATAGTGTTAGGAATACAGATTTGTATTCCTAACACTATAGATTCCTTTTAACTGCAATTCCCATGATCATCATGCACATGAAAACCTTCTGGCAGCATTCCCCTCCATGAGAGAAGTGACTGCAGGGCATAGAAGGAAGGCAAGGCTATAGTACTGGCATCCTTTCGAGAAGGACTAGATCAGCGAAGGCCAACATGTATTCTATCAGCTGTAGTAGAACTGCAATGTCTGTGATGCATTGCTAAACTAAAAGAATTAGAGTTGTAATTCTACATCAGCTAAGGTTATTTATTTCTTCAAAGGTTATTTTGCCTTTATTCTACAAAATGAAAAAATAAATAAAAAAAATCAGTGTATATTTTTAACATATGTGCATTTTACAGAAATCCTTTTTTTTTAAAACATAGAACAGTGCTCTGAGGTTGTACATATTTCCACAAACACAGATGCACACATAAATACACAAGCACAACTTATGTTTCATCATTGTCACCGACTCTATCACTCTCATATGGTGATATCCAGTTTTTCAAAAATATACAACTGAGCAGTATACGACAAATAATTTTATTCTTTGTGTGCTTACCAATAAATACTAAATATCAATGTTCTGTTAGCATATAAAGAATTAAAATGCCTGATCACATAGTTGGATTGTATAACATTTGCAAGAATGAAGTTAATAAAAATACACATCACGATGTTTCTTGTCCTTTACTGATTTCAATAATATAGTTTTGTACATACACACCAACAAACATATATAACACAAAAAAAAAGAACTTAAATATTTTACAGTTATATAAGCATCCTCACCAGTGGCGTACACATGACCCACGGGCCCCGGTGCGAAAATTGATCCGTGCCCCCCACCCCTTACTTGGCACGGGTCGGGGCCGCAACACATGGCGGCGGGCACCTGGTCGCATGGGTTGCAGGGCTGCGATCCCGCGACCGCGGTGTGCACACACACTTAAAGGACCACTACAGACACCCAGATCACATCAGCTCAATGAAGTGGTCTGGGTGCCAGGTCCCTCTAGTTTTAACCCTGCAGCTGAAAACATAGCCGTTTCAGAGAAACGGCTATGTTTCACTGAGGTTAATCCAGCCTCTGGTGGCTGTCTCATTGACAGCTGCTAGAGGAGCTTCCGCGATTCTCACTGTGAAAATCACAGTGAGAAGACACTGAACGTCCATAGGAAAGCATTGAGTAATGCTTTCCTATGGGCGGTTTAAATGCGCGCGCCTCTTGCCGCGCATGTGCATTCGGAGCTGAGAGGCGGAGGGATCCCCAGCGCCAAGGGAGTCCGACGCTGGAGAAAGGTAAATGCTGAAGACACACACACACACACTCTCACGAACAGACGCATACACACTAGCTAACAGACACACACATTTATTGACAGAGACACACTCAGCGACAGACATACATACACACTCACTTACAAAACATACACTTTCACAGACAAACACACACTCACTAACAGACATCAAACACACTCAGTAACAGACACACACAGTAACACACTCACTAGCAGACACACACCCAATAACATACACACTCACTGACACACACACTAACACAAACACACACACACTAACACACAAACACACACACTAACACACAAACACACACACACACACTAACACACACACAAACACTAACACACACACTAACACACAAACACATACTAACAGACACACTAACACACACATACACTAACAGACACACAAACACACATTTTTTTTTTTAAATTTAATCCCCCCAGCCTCCTTACCTTTTGGAGTGCTGGGGGGATTCCCTGGGGTCCAGTGGTGCTGCTGGGCGGGCTGGTTGGCCGGCGTGGGAGGGAGCACTCTCCCCTGTGTGCTTCCTGTTCAGCTCCCTCGCGCATAGGGATGCCGGCGCCGGAAGATGACGTCATCTTCCGGCTCCGGTATCAGTGCATGCGCGAGGGAGCTGAAGAGGAGGCACACAGGGGAGAGTGCTCCGTCGCGCGCCGGCCACCCAGACAGCCAGCCAGCCAGCCCGCCAGGGTCAGCAGGGCCAGCCTCGGGGGGCCCTGAGGTGGCCGCCTCCTGGGCCTCCCAGGAGAAGAGGCTGGCCCAGTGGGTACATACCGGGTCGCAGGGGCGGCCAGGCCCGGTCGCAGCTGCGACCCCTGCGACCCTGGTATGTACGCCACTGATCCTCACCTAAAATACAGTGGCAGTGCTTTCCTGTGCAAATTGTGCATAACAAGAATGTATAAAATAGCTGTAACAAATTAGACAGTACTAAAAAAATAATGTATCAAAATAAAAAAGAAACGCAAATCAATGAAGCTAAAATTAATTATATGGGTGCAGATTTGGCCAGCTCTGAATCAACTAATGTTGCTGCATTGCCAAGATAATCAAAGGTTTCATGGAAAGAGATCATGTGCAAAGCCAAATTTATTATTGAGAAACTCATGAAAAATCAACAGGATTGTTTGTCACCTTTCTGGCAATGATCAAAATGCTGTACCAGGATATTTAGATAAATCAAACTGAGCTGATAGAGCTATGAGTATTATGCTTTGAGATTTAATAAACAGTTAAATTAAGAGTGCATTATCATATTGGAGGCTAATATAGATATGAGGTTAATTAGTTAAAAAACAGAATTGTAGTTAAATGGACAGTGTAGGCACCAGTGGTGTATTTTGGATTTGTGCTGCCCTAGGCACAACTAAATTCGGGCACCCCCAAAATCTAAATTTGACCCCCCAATTTGTGTCAAGGCCACTTTTTTGACTGACAGATACATGCCCTCATTGATACATGCACTGATATACACTCACTGACAGATACACAGTCATTGGCACACACATACAGTCATAAGCGCACACTGTTTAACCAACACACACTTTCACTGACAGACACACACTGACACAACCACTCACTGACAGGCACACACTCTCAGATACACATAAAATGACATATACATGCTGACACACACTCACAGGCACACCCTCACCGAAAGACACACACACTTTCACAGGGCCGCCACCAGAAATTTTGAGGCCCCTGACAAAGCACAAGGTCTGGGCCCCCCACGCCTCCTCGCCCGGCCGGCCTCCCGCCCCGCAATGAATTCAGTGTGTGTTAGTGTAATTAATGCAGTGTGTGTGTCAGTGTAATGAATGCAGAGTGTATGTTAGTGCAATGAATGCAGAGTGTGTGTCAGTGCAATGAATGCAGAGTGTGTGTCAGTGCAATGAATGCAGACTGTGTGTTAGTGTAATGAATGCAGATTGTGTGTGTTAGTGCAATGAATGCAGTGTGTGTGTTAGTGTAATGAATGCAGATTGTGTGTCAGTGTAATGATTGCAGAGTGTGTGTCAGTGTAGTGAATGCAGAGTGTGTGTCAGTGTAGTGAATGCAGTGTGTGTGTTAGTGTAATGAATGCAGAGTGTGTGTCAGTGTAGTGAATGCAGAGTGTGTGTCAGTGTAGTGGATGCAGTGTGTGTTAGTGTAGTGAATGCAATGTGTGTGTCAGAGTAGTGAATGCAGAGTGTCAGTGTAGTGAATGCAGTGTATGTGTCAGTGTAGTGAATGCAGTGTGTGTGTTAGTGTAATGAATGCAGAGTGTGTTAGTGTAGTGGATGCAGTGTGTGTTAGTGTAGTGGATGCAGTGTTTGTGTTAGTGTAGTGAATGCAGTGTGTGTTTCAGTGTAGTGGACCTCCAGCGTCAGATTTTCCCCACAGGAAAGAATTGAATAATGCTTTACTATGGGGAGGCCTAATGCGCGCACGACCATTGCCGCGCATGCACATTAGGTCTCCCTCGCTGGCTGACGTTGGCGGGGGAGGAGCGTGGGCGGAGCCTGACCCAGCAGGACATCGGCGCTGGATTAATTTAAGTGGCTGAAGGGGTTTTAACCCCTCCAGCCGTGCGGGAGGGGGGCCCAAGGGAAGGGGGGACCTATTAACCCTATAGTGCCAGAAAAATGGGTTTTATTTTCCTGGCACTATAGGATCCCTTTAACTGAAAAACCAATTGCATGGATTAAATAGCAGAGATGTGACTAGAGCTAAACTGAACAATTTTCTAAGTCATTAATTTTTGTCTAAATTTTTATTAAAAAAAATCACGACAACTCAATGTGTAGTAAATAAACCCCCACATTTGTTTTCAACTCCTTTTCAATACATATATATATTTTTCCACAAGAATATAACTCTTTCTCAATATTTGCATGCATACTTATAGTTATACTTCTAAGTGAGTCTCACTATAGTAAATAACTCTCCATGTGTACAAAGCAAGATGATATCTTTTGTAAGCCTGCCACGATGTAGACAGAATGCAGCAGTCGATTCCAAATTTGCTTTAACCCCTTAAGGACACAACTTCTGGAATAAAAGGGAATCATGACGGAATATTTCCGTCATGTGTCCTTAAGGAGTTAAATCATATAAGGTAGGTAGAATATTGGGAAGCCATTTACAAAATATATATTATATATTAAAAAATATATTATACATTGCATAAGCCCACCATGGATCCAATGTGCGCCATTAATATGGGATTGGAGGCTGATTGAATTAAAGGGACACTATAGGTACCCAGACCACTTCATTTTATTGAAGTAGTCTGGGTGCAGTGTCCCTGTTCCCTTGACCTGCAATGTAAAACAGTGCAGTTTCAGAGAAACCGCAATGTTTACTTTGCAGTGTTAAGCTGCTGTCCACTAGAGGCACTTCCTGCAGTTTCACGGAGTTTAACTCTGTGAAATGATGCTGGACAGCCTCGTGCTTTATGTAAGGACATCCAGCACCTAGAAAATCCCCACTGGACAGCACTGATTCAATGCTTTCCTATGGGAAAGACCTAATGGGCGCTGATGTTGGAGGTGGGAGGGAGCTCAGCGTTGGAATCAGGTGAGTAGTAAAAGGCTTTTAAGCCCTTTCATTGCAAGTGAGGGAGGGGTGCAGGGGCAGAGGGACACTGTAGTGTTAGTAATACAGTTTTGTATTACTAATACCAGTGCCAGCGTCTTCGTTTAAGAAAGTCCCACCACTATGTTTTGCTGGATACATGTCATTTATATTATACACTGTTGAGCAGAAAAAGCATTGCCATGCAGAATATAGCTTGTAAATGGGGCAGAAAGGAAATCAAGTCATTACCCAATGAGCAAACATATTCTTTAATTCTACAAACAGCAGAGTAGAATTGTGCATGTGTTGCCTATTAACATAGAGAATTTATATATGCCTTGGAAAACATGACGGATATGGCAACCCAAAATATACACTAAACAATAAATTGTGCAGAACCGATATCCAAATGACTCAATTTAAGCTAAAATGGCGGATCTAAAAAGTAATTTCCACCTCAGCTATTACCATAGCATGGATAATTTTACCTGAAGCTGCAATTCAGACTTTATTTTGGTACTGTTTGCAGTTTACTAAATAATTCTGTTTATTTACCTAGCAACTAATAAAACCTGCTGTTTATATAAAAATAGGAAGATGAAGGCAAAACGAGATTTTTATTTGCATTTGAACTCATCACAAATACATTTAACGAGTTATGTATAAACATAATTTTTGGCAAGAAGCAATAAATGCTGAATACAATTGAAATTCTATTTTAAACATGCCAAGGGAGATTCTTGACTGTTTACAAAAGGCTGTGGTAGTGGCAGGCCTAAGACACATTTTA